GACGATGAAACAGAAATTCCCGAACGTCCAGAAGATGACGGTGAAGAAGAAGAAAATTGATACTTTTGTTCTTTAAATTATTAAAAATTTATAGATTTTCACTGCAATTCAATTTCAATCGTAAGAAATGTACAGCTGCTGAATAAAGATAAAATTAAAATATATTAACTCGTTTTACTTCCTTAAAATTTACTTTGAAAAAATCAATATAACTTTAAGATATATAATAATCTAACCTAAGATATACCTACAATAAATATGTCATTTAAAGAGTTTTTAATTATACAAAGTAGGTAAGTATCATTAAATAAATGTATTGAAAATATGCAAAATGTTATTAAATGCAATGTATTAACTGATAAATAATACAAATTTTTCAAAATTCAAGGTAGTATTCACAGATATTTACGGTTGATTGCATTACAGTATGTATGGATGAACGCTGCGCGCCCACTGCCCTCTATCTCAAAAACGATTAAGTGTATCCAAAAATGTTTCAAATAAAATTTGACCCAAATTTTGTGCTCTACAATTATGATAATAGGTGTTAACATCATTAGAGCAACAGAAACCGAGATAATCGCAAAATAATGTTTTTCTTGACCTTTGACCTTGAATAACTTACGACGCAGACACGAGATTTTATGAGACTTTTGAGACAACTTTTAGAACGCTAAAATGAAGATATATACGAAAATTCAGCTTATTATCTCTCATTCCGAGGTTGATCGCTAATTTGACTGGACTAATTGTATTTTTTTAACTTACAAAAAAACCTGCTTGTTGTAGTAGGCAGAGATAATCTTCTAATTCCTCAAAATTTGTTTACCTATGGTCTTGGCGGCATATCTTCTATTACTGTTTTCTTTTTGATTTGTCACATTTGATGACGTTTTCATATTGGAGATTTGTTCACTCGTTTCCTTTAGAATTTCTTTTGTTTCGCACATATTTTTTGTATTTGTTTCAAGTCTAGAGCAAAATTATGTTAATTAGCACCAAGTTCATAAAAAATTCCAGTAACATACCTTTGCAACATGTTATGGCAAAGCGCCTCACTTTCAAAAACAATCACCGTAAGTTCATCAAAATCAGCGGGAGTATCTTCAGTGATTAATGGTGGTATTTCCAGCTTGTCTGAAAAAACTGTTGTTGTTATTTACGTACAGTTATCAAAAACAACAGAAGCATGTAAAAATTAAAATGATTACTTCATTAGAATTATATTAACTTACCTAGTGTAAATTCAACCCACACTGAATCGCACAATTTTCACAAAACTGCATTAAAAATGAAGTGAGTTACGGATTCACGAGAAAGGTTCGGTGGTTGTGAACCAAATGGTTAAATGGAATTCGACAGCTTCACTGTGAGTCTGAAGTGCAATAACCATAAATACGGAAAAAAGGGATCGTCCGACTCATTGACAAACCAAACCAACAAAGGTCCGACTGCACCCCCCAAACATCTGGTGGATAGTAAATGCAGAATTTGAGTGTTATTTTTTCGTTAGATGAAATAAATTTAATAAAATCAAAATTAACCACTCTCTAATTTTTTTGCTACCCATCATCGCTTTATAAACGTTTTTATAAAATCAAAATTCGACGAATGAACTCTTCAAAACCTTGTCCCGTTTCAGGGACAATCGGCAAAGAATTTTTATGGCTTTGTTTGTGTCGTTGGGTCGTCCCTATATTACCCCAGATGTTTAAGGTGACCAGACGTTCCGATTTGATCGGAACTGTACCGATTTCAATACTCTAATTCCGATTTCAAATTTTGTCCAATAAATGTTCCGATTAAAACATTCGTTCCAAGAATGTTCCGATTTCTATAAATCTGATAAGAATAAAGATAAATCCTCGGATAAATCACTAATTTTCATGAATAGTAATTTTATTTTGTGAAAAATTGCATGGGAACAAAACTTGTATCGATACGGTTGTTAGCACTGTTTTAAATGTCAGCAGATGTCAGTACTGTTAGTATTATATATAATATTACAACTAAAAATTTTCAAAGCAGTTATATATCAGATTACGATGGAGATGGAAACTAATGTTCCGATTTCGGACTTTTGAAATCTGGTCACCTTACAGATGTTCTATTTATAATTTGCCAAGCAGGTACTTACAAAATAACATTTCAAGTGAACAAGTTTCAGAAATAATTCTTAGAAATTATTACAATGAAAAAAAACTTGTCTTTGGTGTATTTCTAATAAAGCCGTTGTATTTTTCGCTCTGAATATAATTATTAATTAAGCATTACGAACTCACTGACGAAGGTCACTTTTTAAAGAATACGACGACCCACATCTAATTGACCATATAATCTTTAACAATAAATTTCAAATAATGCCATAGTGGTTTTTTTAAATTTTGATAAGGTGTTGTAAAACTATTTCTGTTTCTGTCTTCATTCCAGATACTGTATTTACGTGGGCAAAGGATGCCGTAAGTGGGATTTTAGGGGCGGAAACGTATACCTGCTTAAATACTGTAAATACAGTGGTGTCGAACGAAGACAACAACAGAAACATACCCGATGTATTGGTTATTATTAGAGAGCGGATTTTATGAAATTTGCATATTCGTTATTTTTTGCATATAAGTCTTGATATTTAATATGTGAACGAATCATGCTAATTAAAAGTTTTTCATAAAAAATGCCATTCGATCGGCATTTTTCTAGAAAAACGAAATTTCATTAATCATATTGCAAATATTGTCCTGAGCTTCAAATAACTGGGAAAGGTTTGGGTTTTATACGTAGTAGTTTGGAGGAACCACTGGGTGTTAAGCCATCCTTCCAGGTAAATTCGGCTCCTAATTACTTTTGGAAATACCATTCATTTCAATATTTTTGTTCGTTACTTAAGTGTATTAATGGTATGTTTTATGGTGGTCGAAGGGACGTTATCCTATTATTGTTCATCGTGAGTTTGCATTTAAGTATTTAAACCGATAGAGATGTGTGTCAATATGTAGATAACTCAAATTAATTTATGAATTAAACCTTTTCCTGAACTTATTCTTCAAGAAGGAACTGTGTTTTGTTGTGCCTTCTCTAATCCGATAAGTATTTTTACATCTGTGGACGCAGTACGCAGTTTTTCTATTTACAAATACATACTTTAGAATCACCGGAAAAATTTTTGTTAGAATATTTCGAAAAATATTTAAAAATAAATTGTTACCAAAATAGTAATTAAATAGTCGATTACTACTATTTTTTAATTCGTTCTGTTTACCTATATTTATTTTTGAGTATAAGAATATTATCTTAAAAAATGTCATTTATTTGTCAGTGAGATATAATTAAACACTTTGCAATGTGATTTATGTATTTTTTGTAATAAAAGCTAAGGTGTTTTTGCAATTTGTAAATAAATTTAGTTCGGTTATTACGCTTTTTTTTTATTTTTGGAGCATGTGCAACTGCATATCTCTGCATATATTAAGAAAGTTATTGCATATTTGCATAAATTTGATGCATGTCATATGATCATATTTCCCAAAATTTTGCTGCATATTTTCCGCTCTCCAGTTATTACACATACACTCTATTACCGACATTAAAAAAAGTCCACACTATTTCGTCATATCTGCTGCTTTATTATCAGTTTTCAGTTAGTTACGTATTGGATATGAAATTAAGTGAATTTTTTTAATAAATAATAATTTAAAGATCAACCACGAAAATACTCAATTATAATTATACATTATACATTACCAGTTTATTTTAGAGCCCAAGATTACATTGGAAAAATCTAAAACTTTTGAAAATTTAATGTTAAACAGATATACCTATAACTGAGTGCGAAAGTCAATACACAAAACTCGATGATCAATTATTGTTTCGTATTCAAATTATTATTTATTTTCCTTACGATCAAAGTGAAGAAATTATTTAATTCATTTTTATTTAAGAACGATATCGCTGACCTTGAAATAGATTAGTTTTTTAATTTCGATTTTTTTCTTTTTGTTGCTTTTGTTGCCGATCAACATATTTTGCATTAGAATTAATAAAATAATGAAATATATCAATTTATTTTTCGAGCTCATTTCAGAATTCGGTATATGTATAATTGTTCCTTTTTGGCAGTGACGCATAGGCAGAGGTTAAAAAATAATTTCTCATTACTAGTCTTAATTCGTATTACCTGTTAGATGGGACATTTTTTAATTCTGATCATAAACTATGTGCATTAAGTCTCTTGTTCTGTTTTATAAAGCGCAGGTCGTTATGGACATATAAAAATAAAATTATAAATAAATATAATTACAGAATATATAATATGAAAAAAAAATTAAGAGCAACTCACTTTTGACGTCATCTCCCTTGTGCAAGATTTAAGACAGGGAAGAAATTTCTTTTTTTAATACTAGCATCTTTTGTTTATGAATATACTATTTACTTGCAACACAAACATAAATAATAAATATAAAATAGAGCTATATAATACTCGATATGTATGTTTTTAAATGTTTTTTGCTGTTGCCCTGTCAGAAACGTTAATTTTCGATTTAACATGCCATTTTGTAAAATCAACTGAAAAACACTTTGCATAATTAACTAATAAAAATAAAACATTCCGAAGCATGTATATATATATATATATTAATCAGATATCCAGTAACTACAGTTAACATTATTTATTGGTTACATAACCGTAGTACTCCATTGTGATGTTACAAGGCTTACCTGCCAACTATATCGCTGCGACACAATAATGAGATATCTAGTAAATGCAGTTAACACTAGGTGTTAGTTACATAACAGGAGTACCACAGTGTGATGTTTAAATGCTTATATGCAAGCTATATCGCTGCGACATAATAATGAGATATCTAGTAAATGTAGTCAACATTACGTGTTTGTTACATAGCATGAGTACTCCATTGTGATGTTATATAGCTTACGTTCCAGGTATATCGTTAAGACATAATCATGCGGTGTACTTATTGTTCTTTTGTGAGTACGTACCCGTCATGTCAACATCACAACTGTGTTTACTGGGTGGTACACCAGTAGGTACAGCAGGGTTTATTATGGTAAATGTACAATTCACCAATAATTCAAAGCGTTTGAAGTTATATGTCGTACCAGAAGGAGGACCATGTTTGGTAGGGCGAAATTGGATGCAAAATTTGGGAATTAATGTAATAGATAATGAGGTTAGAGTGAATAAGGTGACTGAAAATATGAAGTTAGAAAAGCTAATCGAGGAATATGGTGATATTTTTGATAACAAGTTGGGTCTGTTAAAAAATTTCAAGGCAAATTTACATTTGAAAGCTGAGGCTGTTCCAGTTTTTTGTAAATCGCGATCATTGCCAATTAATATTAAGTCTAAGGTAGAAGATGAATTAAATAGGTTGGTAAATGAAAATATTTTAACTCCAGTTGAGTATAGTCAATGGGCAAGTCCTATAGTACCAGTACTTAAGAAAAATGGGGATATTCGTATTTGTGGAGATTTTAAAGTGGCTGTAAATAGGAATTTGAACACGGAACGTTATCACATACCAAAAGTTGACAATTTATTAGCTCATTTGGGCGAAGGTACTCACTTTAGTAAAATAGATTTATCCCAAGCATATGCACAAATTGAATTAGATAGTGAATCGCGAGAGTTAGTTACAATTAATACTCATAAAGGATTATTCAGTTATAATAGACTTCCGTACGTTATATCCTCAAGCCCAGCAATTTTTCAAAGAATAATTGATTCTCTGTGTTACAAGTTAAAAGGAGTTATCGCGTTCATGGATGACATTTTAGTGACAGGAGCAACCGAAAAGGAACATTTAGAGAATTTGAAGTTGTTATTTAATAAAATTCAAGAGTCGGGTTTGAAAATTAATTTGTCAAAGTGTAGCTTCTTTCAAAAATCTGTTTCATACTTAGGGTACACAATTGATGCTGAGGGACTACATCCGTCTAATGATAAGGTAAAAGCTTTAACACAGATGAAGCAGCCTACAAACAAAGTAGAGCTACAATCATTTCTTGGGTTTGTAAACTTTTATGGTAAGTTTATTCCAAATTTAAGTAGTAGGGCGAATCCTTTATATAAACTTTTACGAAAAAACAGTAGATGGCATTGGAACAAACAGTGTCAGAAATCTTTTGAGTGGATAAAAGGGGAAATTAAGTCAGCAAAAGTACTAATGCACTATAATCAGAAACTGCCTTTAGGTTTAGCATGTGACGCTAGTTCCACAGGGGTTGGAGCTTGTATTTTTCACATTTTTGAGAATGGGGATAGAAGACCTATAGCATTTGCTTCAAGATCGTTAAATAGCGCTGAAAAGAATTACTCGCAGATAGATAAAGAAGCGCTGGCAATAATTTTTGGAGTTAAAAGATTTAACGATTATTTATTTGGACGTAAGTTTTTTCTTTATAGTGACCACAAACCGTTATTAGCGATTTTCGGTGAAAATAAGCAAATACCTCAATTAACGGCTAGTCGTTTGCAACGATGGGCCATTATTTTAGCAAGTTTTAACTATGAACTTAAATATGTCAAATCGAAACATAATTATGCGGACGCGCTTTCACGTTTATCTTTACAGGAGACTCCATGCGAGAATACAGATTTTGGACATATCTTACATGTGACGGAAACGTTAGCGATTGATCATAAGTTGCTTGCAAAAGAAACTCAAAGAGATCCAATGTTAAGAGAAGTTTTTAGGTATTGCGTGGATGGCTGGCCGTTGAATATACCTATCGAGCTGAAGCCATATTTTAACAGAAAAGACCAGTTGCACATAGAGCATGGTTGTATTATTTGGGGTTTAAGGGTTATTGTTCCGAAAAATCTACAAGCAAAGATTTTGGAAGAGATTCATTCTAGTCATCTAGGTATAAATAAGTGCAAGTCACTTGCAAGGTCATACTGTTATTGGCCGTATATTGATAATGACATAACGAATGTGTGTAAAAATTGTAGCGCTTGTTCACAGTTACAGTGCAATCCACAGAAAACAATTCTGCAACCATGGCCTCAAACGAATAAAGTTTGGTCAAGAATCCATCTTGATTTTTTAGGCCCAATTTATGGTCAGAAATATTTAGTGGTAATTGATTCACATTCAAAGTGGTTGGAAGTTAAAACGATGAATAATTCAAATGCTTCGGCGGTTATTAATTATTTGACATACTTATTTTCAATTTTTGGACTTCCAGATACCGTAGTCTCAGATAATGGGCAACCGTTTAGTTCAAACGAATTTTCGAAATTTCTTCAGAATAATGGAATAATACAATTATTTAGTCCACCTTATCATCCAGCAAGTAATGGTGCTGCCGAAAGTAGTGTCAAGACAGTAAAACGTAGAATTATTAAAGCTCATTTAGAAAAAGAAAATATTGGACAAGCTTTATTACACTTTTTGTTTAGTTATAGAAACGTTCCTCATTCGACAACAGGTGTGAGTCCAGCAGAAATAATGTTTGGTAGACATTTAAAATCACGTTTGTCACTACTGAGGCCTTCTCAAGTAAATATTAATAATAGACAGACTCAAAGGCAAATAGACAATTATAAAGGGGTGAACAGAACTTTCGAAATTGGCGACAAGGTTTTAGTCAAAGATTATGCTGTACCTGCCAAACCTACTTGGTCGCCAGGAATAATAAGACAAAAATCTGGTAATGTCATCTGTGAAGTGGAAGTTGAACAAGGTAAAATAGTTAAAAGACATTCAAACCAAATCAGACTACAGGGTTCTTGCTCAACGTCCACTGATCCATGTAACGAACAACAAAATGTTAAAAATTCAGTAGTTACAGCTACTAATAGGGACATCACTGTACCAATTTCATCTGTAGCTAGGGGAAATGATGATGTAAATATTATACCTAACCAAGACAATATTATACCTAACCAAGACAATGTTATACCTAACCAAGACAATGTTATAGCTAATCAGGATGTTAATGTATCGCCAAACTCAGTTGTTAGGCATAGATATTTTTTAAGAAATAGAGTTAAGTAAGGTTCAACAATTCATAGTGTACATAATGATTTTTGTACTAGAAGTTTTTATTATGTTTTATTTTAAGGGGAAGGAAATGTGGTGTATCTAGTAGTTAGAAGTCTATGGGAGTTGTATATGCGCAGTACGTTTTTAACAATAAAGATAGTTCGCAACTAACTGCCGTGTGTTCTTGAGGTGGAACAAGCCAAGTAAAGGGAAAACATAACAGTTATCTTCTACAAAAAACTGATGACGTCAGCTCAAAAGTTTGCCGAATAAATCGTATCTAAAATGTACAAAATATGATGAGTCTGTACTTGTGATTTATCATTCCATTCATATTTTTGGATTTGCATATGCAGGGTGACTCAAAAAAATTAATGAAGGCGTGAATTTATTTTATCGATTTAATCAGGAATTACAAAACCGAATGCTTTGAAATCTTGGGAATATTTTAAAGTTATTATAAGCATGGTAAACTTTTGTTCAAAATGTATTTGTTCATCCCTCCTAAAAAAATTGATGACGTCACCCTTAAATTTTGCTGAATAAATCCTATCTAAAATGCAAAAAATATGATGAGTTTGTATTTGTGATTTATCATTCCATTCATATTTTTTAGATTTTCTTAAGAGGTGGTCCAAAAAAATTAATGAAGTCAATTTATTTTATTGATTAAATTAAAGGCAACACTTATTATTAGTATTACACCCCAACCAACCCAATTTGGTAGACACAAAATTTGTTAAAGGAAAAACTCGGTTGAAACAAAAAACAAGCTGCATTTGTTTTATGCGCTCACTTGGTTCCGCGAATGTGAAATAGATATGTTTATAATCAACCAATTGTGAATTTCACCGTCAAGAATTAAAATAAAACCCAATGTTTTATATAATAAGCGGAAGTCGAAGCAATAAAACCGATGGTCGTTTTGTTTACAGTTTCTCTGTTTGACTCTCACGTATGCTGTTACGCCTGTCATCTTAAATTAAGAATGTTTATACATACACGATTTTCAGTTGCCTCTGATACGTATACGTGAGTAAATTGTTTCGTTATTTTATTGATTATTACAAATCAATATTCAAAACGACCCAATTCATTTTCCCGAAAATTTGAGAATATAATAATTTTATTCTTAGTATTACACTACATCTATCCCAACTGATATACGTGTCCTTGCAAAAATGTTGATGACGTCATCGCAATTTTTTTTTAAATTCCCACTACAAAAATGTAATGAGAAAAAAAACACAATAGGCATGCAGTCGTCAAGTTTCCGACAGCGAGGGAAGTACTGTCTAAACTCTTTAGACCAATTTTTTTTTTTTCAATTAAACAAGGTCAAGTCTGATCACCGAATTTTCCCACAGGGAAAAGGTTTCTTTTTTTTTCTGTTATCTTGTCAAAATTGCTACCACTGACTTATAACTCTTTTGGGGTATAGTGTAAGGTGGTATAAAACAAATTCTTCTGTTCTTTTTTTATTTAAACAATTTTCAACGCTAACGGTTGTAAATATTTCGTATAAATAAATGCGCTATAGATGTCTGTGGAAATTTTTTTATTTAAAAGAAACAACTGAAGAATATGCAGCATAATATGATAGGCGCTTAAAATATAACGTTTTTGAAGATTACATAATTAAAACCCCTAAATTCTATAATTGAAATTAAACTTTATTTATTCATGATTCTTACAAAAACTTACACTTGTCAAAAAGCACAATTGTTAGTCCAATTCTGTGCCTCAGAAATAATGACCTCACAATATATACATATATATGTAAATATAATTTTTCATATGTTAGAAAATAAAATCACTTTGTGACTTAGTTATATCGAATGGAAAGAATAAAAGTCTAGACAAGTAAGAATATGTATTATTTCGACAGAACTTCCCCCGTCTTTGAGGTACAATCCAACAAATCCCGATTGTTTGAAAAAGTATAAAATAATAACCCATGGGTCAATCGAACCAGCGATTTTCGCGTTAGTAACTCAACATTTTTACGGCCACAGAGTTCATCACCCGTCAGTGCTCTTATACTAGCATAAAATGCAATTTTGATTCTTTTCCGAAAATTTAAAATAAAAACTCAAGACGGATTCATAAACCACAAGCAAAAGAAAATGTTATTTGATAAAGTTTAAATGGTGTTGCTGGGTATGATTAAACAAATTTTAGTTAGCGTCTTATGTTTTACCCGATATTCTTCACTCACTATAAAATTTGATAAAACCGGAAATTATCTGTCCAACAAAAATCGACACAGGCGACAGACGACAGACAGACAGACAGACAGACAGAAACGCGTGACCTATTTTTTCGTATACTGAGGATCATGGATGTTGAGAAAACATGAAAGTTGCCATTCGTCGAATGGAATCTATTGCAATATTCCTTCCTTACGTTACGCTCCAGAAGTAAAAATGGCACATGTGTTTCTGAAACTGTTAGTTCCTAAGCCAATTTGTTGCCAAGCTGGAAATCACTCCTAATTTATTTATTCTGTTATGCTGATTAACACAGCTTACCTTGTTATATTTGAACAATAATTGACAACTTGAGGTATGGGGCGACGAATGCTACGGTATATTTCACTATATTCTGAATGTGAAATAGTAAGTTTGTTTAGAATGAGTTCCGTACTTTCAGAATCAGTACCATGCTTAACATCTTTGACATAATCATCATAATTATTTAATATAGTTTGAAACAAAGTATTAATTGTAAATAAGAGAATAACAATTTTTATAATATTTATATATCAAAAAATGTAGGCGATTGACAATAAATATCTCTGGATAGGAAATTAATCTCGTGTTTCTATTGCACCCCGTCTCTTTGAAGTCAATTTACAACATAATTTATTAAACCGAATCGATGAATTTATCCAAAGTTCTTCATAAATGGCACTAATTCTCACTGAATAAAAAAAAAAATGAAATATTTCGTAACAGAAAATGCCATAGAAATCTCAGTAATAAAATGGAAACACTTTGTGTAAAATGATAGGAGCTTAAAATATAGCATTTTTCAAGAATTACGTATAATAAACGCCGTTCCGTGAAAGCTAGTATACATAGGATGCAATAATGTCTGCAAGATGAAAGTTTACCATTCTTATTATAAGCAGTAGGTATTGGATTTATTTTGTCACATACGTTAGTTCGTTGTTCTTATATTAAAAAAAATCTTATTTTGAAACATCATTATACTTATAATATTAAAATATTCTGGACAGACGAAATAATGACTCTGAATTCATTAAGGTATTATACTTTAATCATGCATACTCCACGACTGCCTTTGATTCAAACGCATTATATTACGAAAACACACTGCGTTAATTAGTGTATATTTGGTCTGGTTCGGAGTGCGAGGAAATCGGGTGAACGCTCAAATAATTGCTCAAAAATTTCACCATGGACACGTTTGTCACTTCTGGCACGTATTGGATATAGATAATACCGAATACGGTACAGGAAAATTGTACCTAGGGTATAAAGTCAAGGATGATCCATAAACCACAAAGTTTCGGAAACTATCTAGCTAATAAAAATCTACACAGATAGACGAAGACACACGGAAATGTCGGACCTACTTTTTCGTACTTTAGAAGTCTTGAAACGTCGAGAAAACATGATGTGAATAACATTAATTTTGTTCATCGTTTCTAAAATCAAACTCTAATAAACTGATTGACTTAAGTTAAGTTTTTACTTTCGTACTGTAAATTAAGGTGTAAAGTATTGTAATTTGCCTATTTTGACGATATCTAATTTCGTATTTCCTCAACGTTCTGCTGTTTATGGACAACTAAATTGTCGACCTCACCTTCCCGTACGAATTGATTACGATGGAACTTTAGGTGTATAGTAGATTCCTTTAACATTTGGCAAGGTGTTGTAAAACGGTACGTTTCTGTTTCTGTCTTCGTCCGACGCACTGTATTTACACAATAGACATTTCTGTCCCTAAAATGCTAAGAAGATCGGAGAGTCTTTATCTGTGTAAATACAATGTAGAATAGTTGCCAAAAATTTTTTAAATCTACTGTACTTTAAGATTTAACCAAAATTTCGGTATCTATTCCACTAAAAATATGATGACGGCATTTCAATATTTTGCTAAGTAAATCTCATTTGAAACTTATATTGTAATGCTCCACTAGATGTGATTCAATAATAAGTATATAAACATTTTAAACTTACCGTTACAAATTATCCTAAAATGTTATCATTATTGCCTAATTTAGATGCCAATACCTTGTAAAACGTTTTGTGATTTTAATATAAAGTGGTGACTTTGATTCAGTTTGTCTTGAAATCAGTTTTAATTCTCATGCCACATCGCATAATATATTAACAGGTATCTGTTTTTATTGTTCGATACGAAATTAATCTCGTTTTTTCGTAACGCCCCACATCTTTGAAGTTTATAAGTTAATCGATTACATAATTCATTAGGCACAATCGATCATTTTATCCCAACTTCTTTATCAAAGGCATTTATTTTCAATGAATAAAAAATGAGATAACGTATCTATAAAAACCGATACAAGAAGCACTTTGTAATTACATTATTGTTCATCGCATTTTCACAAAGCTTTGATAAAAAATTTATAACGAAACTAACTCCACGATATCAGAGAGAAAAATTTCCTTTGTAAACGGTTACATTTATAAGACTAAATGAACGGCAACTTCTCATTTTAATTCTGCCTTTTGTTCTGAAACAACACACTGACATGGTGAACATAATCGAGAAAAGTTTTAGTTTGAATTTGAAAGTGCTAAATACCATCGGATTGTATTCATTTGGCGAAAGTTCTGTAGTTTTAAAAGTGCGAGCCTATGGTCTGTATTGTCTTTGCTTAATTCTGGGGACAATACTAATAATGATTAATACTGTAACGGAGAAGAGCTCAAATAGTATGGAAACCAACGCCATGGTATCATTTTTAGCCGAAACTGTTTCGTTTTGTTTTAAACTTCTGCCATTCCTTCGAAATCCTGAAAGAATAAGAAGATGTATAAATTTCTTTGGAGAAGAAGCTTTTGCACCGAAAACGGATCAAGAGCAAAAAATTCTAGACGAATGTGTGTGGATATGTCGCAGAAATTCAATTATTTATTTTTATGGTATATTGGCAACTGCCATTTGTTGGAATTTTCCTGTGCTGTTTATCGAAGGACGAAAACTTCCGTTCAGTCTTTGGTTACCATACGATCCCTCATCCACAGCTTTCAACTACTACATTACGTTTACTTTTGTTGTTACAGGTAGAAACAAAAATGATATAAGTATGTATAATGTATAAATAAGATTAACATTTTCATTTACAGCATCATTCTATGATAGTTTTTCTGGAACCAATGTTGATCCACTGATTGGTGGTCTGGCCTACCATGCTACAGCTCAATTAAAGATTCTAAAACATAACTTACAACATATTGACAAACACGAAGATTACACTGTATGCAAATGTAATAAATATATCATAGAATATCACTGTGTGTACAAACATCTGGAACGCTGTATCACTCACCACAAGAAAATTTTATGGTATTTATAAAGTTATATTAAATATATGTATATCTCTAACAAGTACAAACTTAAATTTATATTTACAGGTTTATAGATGAATATGAAGAATGCTTCTCCTGGAGTATATTCTGCCAATTTGCAGGAAGTCTCTTCGCTATATGTTTTTGTTGCATAGGCTTGATACTTGTAAGCACGAGTATTATTTTTATTTATATGTAAAAACTTTTTTCTAGGTACCTATAAACAGCCTAGAAGGATTTTCCTACATTACATTTATTATTGATATTAGTTTCCAAATATTTTTCTATTGCCACTATGGTACACTACTATATGAGGAAGTAAGAAGATACTAATAACCGGTAAGTTTCAAACAAGTTTGATTTTTGTGTTTTTAGAGTAATGATTTAAACAACGCCATTTATATGGGACCGTGGTACAAATGTGACATTAAAATTCGACAAATTTTACTAATCTTAATGGAACGAGCTAAACAGCCAGTGCTTATTACTGCAGGGAAGGTAGTAGATGTTACAGTTAGAACATTTCTATCGGTAAATATTTGGCTTTGTGGTCAATGAAGTTTTCAGATTAATCTTTTTTTTAGGTTTTGAAAACAAGTTATTCGTTAATTGCTGTTTTAAATAATTATGAATAAATCAGCGAAGAAAGTGAGAATGGAATTTTTAAAGTTCAGCCGCTCTCAACATTGGTTTTTAATTACTTTAAGTGTAGAGATTTTAAACTTGAAATGTTAAAGCCTACGTTTATTTTTGGAATTAAATTATATTTTATTTAGTTTAACTTTACATTTATTGTATTAAATTTGGAGTTTGGGACGTGTCAGTAAAAATTTTAAAATTGAGTTTAACTGCTCCAAATAAACGATACATATTACTTGAAATATAAATTTTGTTAAAATTTTATATTTTGTGTTGTCACAGGTATATTTTCTCCCACATAATCATGAGAGATTTGCAAGTTACATAACAAATAATGAAATAAATTCAAAATGTATTAAAGAAATAAAACTTCGGACTTGCTATAACTAAGTTTCATAGTGCGTCAAAATTGAATTCTTTATTGTAAATTTTCAATCGTAATTTATTTCCTATATAATTACGTAATAGCTTCAAAGTAATTTGACAGGTCAGTTGAGGCTGAACATTCAGTCTGTTAAACATATTTTTTGAGATACAGGTTTACCGGTTTTGATTATAGTTGTAAAAAACTGTATTTAAAATTTTGGTAAACCCCATAGTTGATGAAAGTTTCGTAAGGAAGATTAAATAGGTGTCTCATAATTGACCAAGATTCATTTTTAATTATTATTATTAAAATATGTTTTAGAATACAGCAAAGGAAATCATTAAACGAACTAATTTTTTTGACTAAAAATAAAATTCTGCGTAAACAACTAATAAAGATCGTCAATATTATTCTCAAACCGCATTTGGATTTCTGATTTTTAGCTATATTCTTCTGCTTCTAACAGGTATCACTAGCCGCTCTTTGAATTGTAGAATAGTACAAGAATAAATTTTTTTGACGAATGCTGGTCAAATTACATAGAAAATGTTCGAACTACTGAATTTTAAAAATAAAATAATTTTGTAGAATCTAGTTGTATTAATTTGAATTCCTCTCCCCAGTATTCCAGAGTCGGAATATTGTGAATGTTTTTATGATTTTTTCTGCAACAATAAACTTTTTCAATTGATAGAAGAACTCGCCCGAATTCGACTTGTTATAACTACGAATCTTAATTTATCAAGTCCTTAGAAATTATTGTCTCTATTAGACAAATCAGTGCACGTTGTTGTGAAGCCTAGTCAAAATGTACTTTTATTTTCACTAATATCAACACTAATGATTTCTGTTTGAGTAATTGAATCGAAGACTGAATAGGAACAATCACTTTTGTTGGAATTCTTTCTTAAATTCGTTCAGAACATGTGTTTATTTGTCTTAAACCTTGGATAGATTAGCAAACTTTGGGAGAGTTTTAACAAAACGTCGCTTTTGGCCTAGGGATAAACGTTCACGAAATAGCCACCACTTTAAGCTGTGATAACGAATTTATAGTGATACATTTTTGAACACGTTACAATCACCTCCCAGACGACGGATTACACGTGGACCTGCACTTCCGGTTGCTGTCGTAATTGCGCCGAATGACGCAATTCCTCCTTCGAAGAGCGAATTGCGCGGAGAGCCACAATTCCTACCATCCGCGAAGACAGCACTGCACTGAGGCTCCTAATCTATTAAGTTCCAAGAAAAATGCTGTCTTCTTTAGGAAGATCAGATCACTCTGTTGTCAATCCCAGTTTCTACTTATTTCCCTATTACTGAAGGAGAAAAAAAAGTAGTTTTATAAAACAGAAATTGTTTAAACGAAATTTCTTCTTGTTAAGATTTTCATATAAACCACGTGTTAGGAATTTACTTATTTGGGCTTCACTCTTTTGTTTATTGCATTATATTAAAGTTTCTGGATGTGTGGTAGGTGTAAACAGCCTAGCAAGACTGGGGCCTGAATATTTAGTTTATAAAATTAAATTAAATTAAGTAAATGGGTAGCGTGAATTTATCAGATCTTCTAACTGATGAGAAGTGTTATTTAATCGCACATCACAAAAAAATGGGAATTCTCATACCTTTCGAAACTTCCTCTTTCGCTGTTCAAGGATACGAAATCACTCACAAGTACCACAGTTCTAATCACTATTATTTTTAATCGGAAGGGTTGGCAGCAAAGTCGGCAAAAAGAAAGTCCAGCTTTCAGTTGAAAATCGGTGACCCTTATTTATTTACAAACTAAATGAGTTAAAATTACAAAAAAAACACAAATGAACAAATAGATGACCGCTCACGGTGACTACCACAAAATTAAAAAAAAATGACAATTCAAACACTGAACAAAAATAAAAAATTAAAACACTGAACATAAAAATGAGAACTAAACAGCAAATTACGTTTCGAGAAGGAACGAGTTGAACACAACAAAATCCCGACCAGAGAACTGACAAAAATTAACCAACACTAAGCTTTTATTACTTCGCCAAAAAGTGGAGACTCCACGCGGAATCAGGGGGGCTAACAAAGAAAAACCAATGGGATGCAGTCCCTGTGTTGAGTTGAAATGAAATGTCTTCTCGTTCTCTCTCGAACCATACCAGCAAGCCCCCCAAATCGCCGTCGATTCACATGTTCTTATCAAAAATGAGTTCCCTAACAAAATAATTTATATTATAAAGCAAATCTATCAGACAGATATTTGGAGTGGCCACTGGTTCGCGACTTAATTACGATGGCCAGCCATAGATCTCAAACCCATCAAACTTTCTGTTGCCTGTGACTCGATTTCCCCTAGGTGTAATCGCAAACTTCATTCCAGCTGTGGTAGGCTAGATCTATGCCTGTCATTCATCCGAATTTCCAGCCTTTCCTTTTATCAAAACATAATTACATGTCTACAGAGAGAGATGTACTTGTTGTTACAAAGGTCCTAGAAATTTCCATTAGTCGACTTAATATTCTCATTAACTCGAAAAACGGGTTAGCTTTAATATTGTCTTACAGGTTTCATAATTTGTTTCAGGTCTAATTACGTTTTTACAGTTTTAACAATATTTTTGCGGCTTGAATTCTCTGCTCTACAGTTCAGCGTTTTCCAATACAAGCTTATTGTAATTTTGACTACTAATTTGTGTTTTTTGTACGTGATGTCGGTTTTCGGTTCACAAGGAAGTGTGTGAAAGTGTGTGATTTTGATCAGTAACTCGAATTAACGCATCATCTCATAATCTCATGTAAATTTTTTGTTGTTTAAAATTGTTGATAAAGTGTGGCCTAATTTAACAGCATGTAAATTCTTGCTGGTTAAAATTCTTGGTAGTGCGATGTAATTAATTTAAGTAAGTAATGTGGAGTGTTATACCTGTCTACACAGTGGAATAACCGAGGAAAGGGATAAGTAATTTACCTTGGTTTTTGCTAAGAATTTGATAGGGTCTCTTACAGAAACTGGAATATTATGGAATGAGTTGTAGGATGTTACTTAGGTATTTCCATATCTAACTAAAGGAGAAGCAAAAGTAAGATACAATTTGTAATAAGAAAGAAACGTCTAAATGGATAAATAAGGCGGAGTGTATGGTTGACAGCTTAAAACTGCACCAAATGTCAGTTTTGCTGCTGAAATTGCCAAGTAACCTTTAGTTATAAACTTTCTTTTCACGCCATCTGAGATATGAGGCGGCTGTAGAATTCTGCATTTTTGGCATACTTCAATAAAAATAGTTATCAATTTCGTTACTTACATATTCTGTGATAAAATAACTTCATTTTTATTAATATTCCCGGATAATAGGTTTCAATTAAGCCTAAAATTAGCAGAGCCTGTAAGAAATCATCGTTAGTTGTCTAAAGAGAGAAATAAAATTAGATCCATTTTTTTGCTGTTGGCATTTTCAATAACAACCATACTTATAACACAAAAATTTTGGCAATTTATAACAAAAATGTTGCATTTACAGGAACTTCTTGAGATTGTTCAATACGAAATCAATCTCTTTTTTCGTAACACCCTGCATCTTTGAAGTTTAAAACTGAATTAATTTATTACATAATTAATTAACCAGAATCGATAATTTCTTTCCAAGAGATGTAACTTCTTTATCAAAGGCATTCATTTTCAATGAATAAAAAATGAGGGGATATAGACGTTGGAGGCAACCAATAAAAGAATTTTTAAAGCACTTTGTAATTAAACGGTTAAAAAGTCATATTCATCGCGTATTCACAAAGCGATCATGAAAAATTTATATTGAATCTACTGTACGATTCCTAAACACTTAAACAGTTTATATAATAGGAATTCCATCGCCATTTCTCATTTTAACCCTGCCTTCTGTCCTGAAATAATAACTGAAATGGTGAATATAATAGAAAAAAGTTTCAGCTTGAACCTGAAAATGCTGTACATTATGGGGTTATATTCATACGGCAAGAGGTCGCTAATTTTTAAAGTTCGAGCTTACAGTTCATATTTTGTCTTATTAGTATTGACCACAGCTTCAATATTTTATAAAAGTGTAACAGAAGAAAGCACGAATAATATGGAAACGAATTCCATGATGACATACGTAGCTGACACTGGTTCATTTTGTTTTAAGCTTCTGCCATTTGTTCGAAATGGAGAAAGAATAAGAAAATGTATTAATTACTTCGGACGAGAAGACTTTCTACCAAAAAATGACTACGAAAGAAAAATTATCGATGAATGTGTGTGGGTATGTCGCAGAAATTCTACTATTTATTTTTATGGTGTTTTGGTAACTATTATTGGTTGGAATACACCTATGCTACTTGCTAAAGGACGACAGCTTCAGTTACGACTTTGGTTACCCTATGACCCAACAAGTACATCTCTACGCTACTATCTTATATTTTGTTACATTGCTACAGGTATAAATAAATATGTGAATGTATCAGAAAAATCGTTTTCGTTTACAGTAATTGCGTATGATGCTTTCTCTGGGACAATCATAGATCCACTGATTGGTGGTTTGGTTTATCATGCGGCAGCTCATCTAAAGATTCTGAAACATAACTTGCAGCATCTTGACAAACACCAGGAAAATACCTTAAGTA